GGGAGAGCCCTGAGCCTCAGGGACCGGATCCATGCAAGCCACATCCAGCCCCCAGGCTTTAGGTTTCCCACCCCTAGATTTAGGTCCTGCTAAGTGTCGGTCAGTGTGGCGTAGTGGGGGGCTGTCTGCTCTGTAACCCAGGGTCCCCCTGCGTTGTCATGTGTGATTCCCACTGTCTCACCCAAATGTGTATTAACCCAGACACCTGGGCTCAGCCTGAGGAGATAACAGGGGATTCCCAGGGAGAGAGACAAAGAGAGAGGGGAGAAAGGTTCAGTTGCTGGTTGGGAAACAGGAGGAAGTGAGCCTAAACTGAGGGCTGGAGGTCTAAGGGGGGATGAACCCCCCTAACCCAAGAGATCTGAGGCATCCTGGCCCAGACTTCTGTAGCAATATCACGTCTATTCTGTGCTGTATCCTGGAGGAGCAATAAAACCTCTCTATTCTCTGGCTGGCGGAGTCTGTTCTTGCTGCTACAGGGCTGCAGGATTTGGGGGAACCCCGACTCGGCGTCACAGTCGGCTATGCATGTCCATTCACGCCCAAATACTCCGGTCTCTCTCTCTCCTCCTCCTCCTACTGCCTCCCTCTCTCTCTCTCAACTCTCCTCCGCCTCCTGCCTCTCTCTCTGTCTCTCTCTTTCTCTTCTCCTCCCCTTCCTGCCTCTCACTCAGAGGACCGCGGAGCCCAAACAGCCATTTGGGCACTGCACTCCCTGTGCTGCATGGGGAGCATAGAGCCCAAACGGTCGCTTGCTCTACTTGCTCCCCGTGGCGGCCCAGATGAGCGGCGCAGAAGTCAGCCGAGTCCCATGGCGGGAGGCAAAGGGGGGGGGCGGGGTGGTGACGTACATGGCCAGGCCCTGCCCCCTGGCCATGTACGTCACCGCCCACCCTCCTTCCCCTCCCACCCTGGTGCTCGGCTGACTTCTGCGCCGCTCAGCCGGGCCGCCGTGGGGGAGCAAGCAGCGCAAGCAGCCGTTTGGGCCCCGCACTCCCCATGTAGCACGGGCTGCCCAGAGGGAACAGCCAGCATTGCAGGCAACAGCGCCGCCCAGAGGGAACAGCCAGCATTTCAGCATTACAGAGTCACAGACATTGGGCTACTAAACATATAATAAGCAACTGATTTAATCTAACATGGTAGCAGGGCTGGTGTTGGCATTTAAACAATAGTACGTTGGGGGTGGAGGAGAGGATAAACAGAACCATGTCTGACAGGACACTGAAATGCAAGTGTGCTGGGAGAATTACTAGCCTCATGTTACACCCATTATCAATTATCACTAGAGCTTTGTTCTTACCCGTGCATCCTCTGCACACGAGCACTGGGGTATTGCCCATTTCCCCACTTATCTCCTTACTCTCTGAAAAGTCATGTCTGCTTTCCCTCAGATCCTGTCATAATCTTTCCTTAAATGGTCAGACGGCCGATGCATTGAGCTACACAAAACCACTCCCCTGCTCTGGTCTGGACAGTGTTAAATCCAGAACCCTAAACTAGGAAGACGTAACATCTCCTGAGAGAGTTCATTAAATCAGAGTGACACCTGAAAGGACATTTTTTGGTGCTCTCTCCCCCTCAGGAGAGCAAAGATTACAGCTCTCAGCATCCCCTGAGTCACAAATTCAGAGTGTATGCAGCGTTGTTGCAGCCGTCATTCCCAGGTGGGAAGGTGATGTCCTTTATGGGACCAACTTCTGTTGGTGAGAGTGACAAGCTTTTGAGCCACAGGTCTTGGAAAGATCTTAAGAAGAGTTCTGTGTAGCTTGAAAGTTTGCCACTCTTGCCAACAGAAGTGGATCCAATAAAAGATATTACCTTCCCCACCTTGTCTCTCTAAATTCGGAATATGCCTTATGCCAGGAGTGAGCAATAAGTGGCCTGTGGGCCAGAGGCAGTTCACCAAGGTCAGCCCCTGGCAGGCTGCTAGACACATTATTTACCTGTGCATCCATAGGTACAGCTACTTGCAGCTTTTGTAGTCCATGGCTTGCTGTTCCCGACCAATGAGAGCTGAGGGAAGTGTTGTCCTGGTCTGTGCCCCTTCCCACAGCTCCCACTGGCCGGGAACGGCAATCTGCGGCCAATGGGAGCTGCGAGAGGCTCTACCAGGGCCGGCCCGAGCCATTTTGGCGCCCCGGGCC